AGAGTGCAACTCAAATTATTTATCTGTTCTGTCAAGCGCCCATTTTCCTTTTTAAGTTCAAGATTTTCGTTTCTCAATCTGATCGCCTCGCTATCCGACTCTTGATTTTTAAGTTGTTCAAGTCTATTCGAGTGCTCCAACAATGTACTGTTTACAGCTGACATGTTAGCACTGAATTCTTTTGCTAGGTCTTGCAGTTTATTGTTAAGAAAGTTTTTAAGGATCTCTAAGGGATCGTCTGCAACTATACAAGCAGGATTTGCATCCGCTTCGGGACGGCCGAGCGCCCCGCGGCATTTGGTATTATCAACGATTTTCTTTGATATAAGTGTACAAGAAATATTTGTTATTCGTGTCGCCTCAGTAATAAGTTGAGATAACTGGTATGTTTCTAATATAGCTTTCAGGGTTTTAGTTGGTTGATCAGAAACAGTATTAAGCAAATTACAATTTAAATCTCCTAAGATATGCAGTTCTTTGTTTTCGTCATCAATCGATTTGATCATCTTTTCAAAATCAACAAAGAACTCAGAAGTAGAATCTGGTGGGCGATAAACAGATGCAACAATGCATTACTATTTGGTTTGCAAATCTCCAAACAGACCGCTTCGATACCCTCAGGAACCAGATCATTTCGAATTTTATAGTTAATAGAAGTACGGAGATATATACATACACCACCCCCTCGGCGAGATCGATCTTTCCTGACTATATCGTAACCACTGATATTTACTAAGCCATCCGAAATGGTATTGTCTAGTCTGGTTTCATTTAAAGCAAATAAATCCAAATTTGAAAAGAGTTTAGATATGCGTAATTCCTCAACATGTTTAGGTAAGCTGGCTATATTAAGTAAAGCCATCTTAAACCCCCTAGAATTTGCACAATTAGGAAATGGGTTGGATGTAGAATTTTGAGAATTAGCACTCACGAGCGCTTTTTCTCGGCGAAATACGAATTATTTCGCCTGTTTCTTTTGAATTGCAACTACTCGAATAAATTATTTCTACTTGATTGCCCACAATTCAAAAGAAACAGGCGAAATATTTCGCATTTCGCCGAGAAAAAGCGCTCGTGGAATCAGGCCTGGACGCAGCCAATGCGCCAACAGTATAAACGCGGCTGAAATTCGATATTAAAATCTTGAATGTGCCGTATTTGATTATGTTTTAGGATTTACAAATGCTTTGTCATTTGTATTTATACTTGTGCTGCATCACAAGGCAGTACGTAAGTGAACAAATTCCACATGTGAGATTGTCTTGTATATATTTTTGCTTTCTTTGATAAACATTATTATTAAACACGTAAATTTTAATTAGTGAGACGCAATGTTAAATGTCACCTGCATGTCATCGTCATTGCCCTTTAACCTCTGGTCTAATTGGCCGCTTTTGAAAATGTTGATCATGACGAACCGCACTGCCTTAATTATGCAAACTTTGTGTTTTAAAAACGGGTTAGGATAAAACGCGGATACGGGTGAATGACGGACGGACGGACGGACCGGACGGATGACATATATATATATGTCATTATATAGTCTGCGCGCAGTCCCGCAGGGTAGTTAGTGGCTTACTTCTTTGGTGGTTATTATACTTTAAAATAATTTTGTATATACCGAGAAATCAATATTCCGAGTATATAAATATATAAACTGGGATGTCACACTGATAGCTAGTTTACATTTCCTGGAGCATCGAATCTTATGTTTAACCACGGTGGTTTAACCCATTAGCCGGCAATGCGCCCCTCCCCTTGTCCAGCGCCAGAAGATTTTACTCGTCAGTGGTATATATAGGCTACTGCCAGTAAATGGGTTAACAAACCTTTCTGTCAATGTCTCTTGTTAAACCATCAGCACAGTAATGACCCCTACTTTAGTATTTACCCTGTCCAACGCCAGACGATTTTTAATACTCAGTCAGTGATAGGGTACTGTCAATAAATGGGTTAACAAGGATAACAATAATAGGATGTTTCTGAAGGACTCGTCATTTATTCGTCAACACCCTGTAGTTTGTCTTTTGCTGTCAAGGGCAGCATTACTGCCCTGTGGGTAACCTAGTTTACAAACAATTGAAAATACTTTATTAGTCAATTGTGCATTGATGTGTTTCATACTGTCTTGTTTCACGGCAGACGGCAGGAGCATTGGCCTTATACTGGTTGTGGTGGGCCGGGCAGGAGTCTCTATTATTATGGTATGAACGAATTCGTCACGCGAAAAACGCGTTCGGATTGTGCACGCATAAGACACAGTTGCTGTGGGTTTTTACTAATTAAATTTTGTGGGTCTAAATTTGTAATTGTTTAAAAAAGTTTTATATCTTTAGTTACTTTTAACCTGAAGATGAAGTTATACTCCGAAACGTAGTTATTAAAATGATCTTTTTGTACTAAGCCTATTTGGTCTAATTATTCAAACACACAGAACTATTAAAATGAGACTTAGAGAAAGTTCTGTCATACAAGATTTGAAGATACCATGGAGTTGTTTATAATAAGTGTTCAACTAAATATCGTACTACAATTAGAATTGTGAATATTTTAATCTGGAATAACTGTTTTAGCGCAAATTACTAGTATGCGCGCATATATATTATTTTCTGATTATATTCTAGACTAGCTTGTGCTTGTCGGCCATTCACTTTTTAAAATTGACAATTGACTACTGGGTAGGGTGGAGCAACGATTTATTGCTATTCGTAGATTCATGTACGTGTAGCGTACCTATTTTTTGTTTATGGGTAGTGACTACCTCGTGTATATGAAGCTTTTGACTACGAAAAATAGGTGCAAATCTACGCGGAATTGCTTGAACCAGGGACCGTGGAGCATGAGGAGGGAATACGTCTCAAAAATTTGAGGCTTGGAGATGCCATTTCTTGCACAATCTGGTACCAAATTTAATAATCTGGACAAAATGGAGCTAGAATTGCTTTATAATTGGATTTGGTGGGGAGTTAGAAACGCTGAAAATATCAGCATAGACCATAGTCGAATTACGGCTGGTGATGGAGTTCAAAATGCTCACGCTTTTTATCCAAGACATAAAGGACTTAATCTAAGGGCGACTTAATCCCCTTTGAAGACTGCGAAGGGTGCTGAAGCCCCCGCCCATTTTTTTGTTCATTTAAGGAATATTTGGTTCATCCCAATGTTGGTAATGTTGTTCACCTTGCCTCACATTTTGTATTACTCAAATCAGTAATTTGAAGGCGATGTTTCAATTGATATTAGGTGCAGTGGCGTAACTTTGTGCTAAAGGGCCCCCCGCTTAACAGGAATACGCCTACGCGCCTGGTCCTGCCCATTTAAAGTGACGACGGGAGGGGTGCTACGACAAAAATTGCAAAATATACAGACCATAGATATCTTATATACACACTAGATAGTGCATCTAATTATTCTGCAATTTAAAAATTGAAGCCGTGATTGCAGTCTCATGTCGTTCCCATGAAATGAGAAGATTCGTATGTTTTCTATTTCTTAAACAGGGAACTTAAGAGGTCGTCTCCGTAAGAACCGACAACTGATTTTTTTCTTCGAAAACCAACCTTGCCTCTAACTTTTCTTATTTATTAGACTTAACAAGTATACTACAAAATCACATTCAGAATTTTTCATCTCACGTTATTTCCCGAGATTTTTAAACTCTTGTTCCTTAGGGCTATAATTGGGATCTCAACGCTTTGGCTAACGTAAAAATACCACATCTGTATCCCTCAAATGCACAGACGCACGGCCCGCTTTCCAATTTTTATGTTTATAATGTGAAAGTTAAGGTCTTTGCTCGAACATATCAAGCATCTACACATTTCAAACCCTTTTAAAACGTATTATTACACGAGCGTGCTTCAAGGTACTTTTTCAACATGGGTTAGGTCCTCAAAATTACATGTTTTTACGATCGGATTTTGCAAAAGTGGCACCACCCACAAACTTCTACTTAAATATTTTTTAAAATACTAATTGTAGATTATAATTCCATCGAAACAAAAATTGGGGGATTTTTTTCCAAACTATTTTAATCGACGCGTGAAATTTACAATTCTTTGGTGTTCAATGGAAATGACGCTGACAACCCATTCATTAAAAGTTCGCGGATAGTTTACAAATTCAACACATGCTAAAAGTTTTGAACATAAAAACACTGCTTGAGTTGCATAAATCTTATGTATGCAGATAATTATTGACATTACAGATAGTTTGAGACTTATATAAAGTATTGCGAACAAAAGAGCCCGCGGGCGCTAGGATCGGGGGCTCAGAAAAAAGGGGAAAAAAAACAAAACAGTGAGAGATTTTGTAAATCAAATGTGAAAGGTTCAATGAATTTAAGTTTAAAATAAACAGTTTGTCGAGTAGAAATATACGTTTCCGACAAAGTGGCGACCCCGAGCAGGATTTTAGCCGAAAATCACAACGAGAGAGCGAGAAATAACAGCGTGAGTAATCAATAAAAACATCGAAAATTCGTGAGATATAGCCGCCATCTTGAAAATGTCAACTACCAACAAAGTAGAAAAGCTACTAAAACAAATCGATGGGAAACTTCGTATGCTAAAATTTACACAAGAGGATACACCAAGAGTACTGAAAGATCATAAGGTAAAAGCAATGGAACGTCATACAAG